GAGGATGAGGCCCAGAAATCAGGATTTTAAAAAGATTCCCAGGTGATTCTAATGTGCAGCCAAGGTTGAGAACCACTGGGTTAGATGTTCTCTGTTCCTATTTCACTTGGTTGTAGTACAGCTGCTTTTTTCTCCTCCCTGCAGGTTCCTTTCTTCCTTCAGTTCAAATATTCGGTCTGTTCCCATCACTCAGCCTGACCATTTTTATTTTTTCATGTGGAGGCAATGCGAGCTTTTTATTTCACACCATGATGGTTTTCCCAGAACATATTTTTGTTTCATAAAAAGTGAGTTATTCCTGGCCAATTCGGGGATGCATTTCAGCTTCCCAAGACTTGACAGGTTAATCTGGTCCGGGAATGGCCAATCCCAGGTACATGTGGCCCTTTTTATTCCTCCGTGAGTTGCAGTCTGTTGTCTCATCCAGTTATTTTATAAGTAGGGTGGCAGAGGGTCCCATTCACAACAGCAATTCTTGCCCAAGTCACCAAGCTGATTATGTTAGAGTGGGACCAAGAGCCCACAGTCTTAATCCTTTGACATTTTTCCTGGGTCCCTGGCAATTAAATGATTATACTTAAGGGAGCCTAGTAAAACTCCTATAAACTGTTTAGGAAAACTGTGAAAATTAAACACATTAAGGCATTCTAGAACTTTTTCCTAAAATGTGAGTCTACTTGAGAAAGAATAATACACCACTAGGTTCATAGCTTCAGAATAATAATTGAATCCAACCTCTGGCTCTTTTCCCAACTGGTAATTTCTAGGCCCAGCTGATGATCAGAATCACCAAGTGCGCTTTAAAAAAAATGAGGTTTGGATCTTCCCCACCATATATTCTTAGGGAAAATGTCTGGGAAGGGCCCAAGAGTGTGTCTGTGTATTTAGCAGGGCTCCCTACATGGTTCTAATATCAGCCAGCCAATATGATAACCATTTACAGGGAGGACCTGACAGATTATGCAGAAGCAAATTATGGGTAAACTTTAAAATAGTCTAATATAAACACAAAATCGTGTGCCTAGACATTTGTTTTCTCACTTTCTACATTTTTTTTAAATCTTAAGTTATTATACCGAGGGATGCCCCCGATGAATTTTCTGTTAACTTATCCTAACACCCATGCTCATAGCTGCAGAAAAATGGACCTGTATTGGAAGATTTGATGGAAAAGTCCAAATGCTTGCCAGTCATTAAAAGTAGAAAGCATTTTTATACAGTTATGATTTACTTGTGCAAACTGGGCCCGAGACTGTGTCCTAAATTCTTTCCAAATGCGGTCTCAGCTCATTGTCACAATTGCCCCCCCTTTACAGATTAGAATAAAATTGCCTAAAGATAAGTTGGGAAGAGGCAGAGAATATTTCAGTCCAGATCTGCAGCCTTAGCAAAGGCCAGCTCCCAGCCACTGTGTGTTACTCTTCCTCTCCCGTGCACGGGTCCTACTGCCTAACAGTGAGGCGCAGGCAGAGTGCAGTGGGCAGAGAGCCCGGAGATAAGAGGTTTAGCTCCACTCTCCTGTAGCCCTGTGACCTTTATGCAAGTTTTCTGAGCTCTGTCAGCCACTTGTCTCATCTATCAAATGATGAGATGGCTCTATGAGCTTTGAGGTCTTTTCCCTGTTAGCGTTTCAGCGTTGAAAAAAGTAACACATGTGGTCCTCTTTCACTTGATTGCGTTTAAATCGTCGAAATGCAGGTTATGTGTAAAATCTCAGACAGAGAGTCTTACACTGAGAAAGCTTGGCATCGGCTCTCTAAAGATGACCAGCAATAGGAAGACTGTCAGATGTGGCCCTTTAAAGTTTTGCTCAACGCTTTTTAGGTAATGATTTAAGAAGTCCTCGGGGACTTGATCTAGCCCAATGACTGCTGGATGTTTAAGTAGTTACTCCAGAATGTTTTGAAATAGCAGAAAAATCTCATTCTGGCAGCGTGACACTTCCCGTTTCTGCTGAATCCATTTTCGCATGCAGTTCTAGGAGGACTTGATAAAATATGCTGAAGCAAATCCAGGGTGTTTTATAGCATTCCTGTGCTTCCTAAAGAGACAAGGAATTTTAATCACATCAGTTTATTAACCTGGAGGCTTCTTTCGTGTTACATGTTTGCATTGAGCTCTGGTGTGAGACGATCCATCCTTGGGTATTAGCCTTTGGAGAAAACCGCCAAAAAAAATAGTGGGACTGAAAAGAAGCAATTGCTCTGTGCCCGGACTAAGCTGGACACGATGGTAGTGGTGACTTTCCGTGTGGTTTGTGCTCCTTTTTTCCTTTATTTTGCTTTCTGATGTTTTGCAGCCTGCCTACCAAGATCTTAAAGAGTTTGCCATTAGATCCTAATTATTTATGTTCTGATGGGGTTCCCTACTCTTGAAATCCATTTCCCATCGTGCTTGGCAGGAAAAGAGTAGGCCACCTGCAAAGTTAAAAAGTGATTGTGCAGATGAAAACGAGGGAATGTTTTGCCTTGGAGCTTAGGAACAATTAGAATAAAACACACAAGAGTCAGACAGTAATCAAAATATCAGCCCAGGGCCTGACAAAGCTGGCCTGGGAAGCATGGCAGATGGGGTTTTCTGCTCCGTCTCCCCAGGGTCCGGAATTTGCACGCAGCAGCAGGTGCCGGACGGCCTGTGGGAAGATGATGAGTGTTTAGAAATGGGAGAGAAGCTGGCGAGTGGCTTGGGTTCGCATTTGAAGAGCTTTGATGCCAACATAGGGTGTGTGTGTGGCACACATCTACATTAATAAGAACATTGAGGTGTGTTTACAGGTTTCCTAACATACAAGGTGATAGGATGAGTGTCAAAATATGCTTTCATCCGTTTTTAAGGAAATTGCCAGAATGTACAAATTGGATCAGAAATGGCAAATAAGTTTGATCTAACCTGCCAGTTCCAGTTGATGAGCAGTGATAGCGGCTACCTTGAGGGCTGTGTTAAAGGGGGATTTTAAGGAAATGTCAGGCTCTGCCAAAAAAACAAAACAAACAAACAAACAAACAAAAGGGGTCTTTGATTGATTAGTTATGTCTGCCAGGGATACAAGAAGGGATGTGACAAGTTGTATGCTACAGACTTCCGTTCTCATAATAGACTATATATGTGGGACAACACCCATCTGGATTGTTCCTCTGTATAGTACCCTCTGTGACGAATAGTGAGCCCTTTGACTGCCAGCATTAAAGTTCTTTACTCTTCTTTTTAGGCCTCAGTATGGTGGCAAGTTCTGTCCAGGTTCCGGCCGCATTTATCAGCTGTGCAACATTAACCCTTGCCATGAGAATAGCTTGGATTTTCGAGCCCAGCAGTGTGCAGAATATAACAGCAAACCTTTCCGGGGATGGTTCTACCAGTGGAAACCCTATACGAAAGTGGAAGGTAATTTGGTCTGTGTGACCCTCAAATAAATATGTCTCTACATGGACGGTAATGTGAACGAACAGCTCAGAAGAAATCGCTGCCTATATGAAAGTTTCAGTTTTTATCTTTTGTTCCCCAGACCCATCCTGGCTCATGTGTTTTCTCAGTTCCATAGGTTTTGTTTATTTTTCCACACTTTTTTATTTCACAAGACACCCCTTGTCTCCCACATCTGTAAGCCAAAGTATTCATGTGTTTGGAATGCACTTATATTTCCAAACTTACCTTTGACATTTCAGCAATTAAGTCTCCCAGGGATGTTAATTGAAATTGGTATGAATTATCCAGACTAAAAATTCGTGAAACCATATATGCCCCATGGAGACACCATACTCAGTAACTGACATGTTCGATGATTACAAGCATGGGAAGGCCTATTTGCAGAGTATGTACACACACACACACACACACACACACACACACGAATAAAAATTATCTCCATACTAAGTTCTTAGTACTTATTATAACTTAAAGTAATGGCATGTATTGTACTTTTAAATTAATTTGTTTTTATTTTGGCTAAGCATCAAAACATTTATTTTAGTTCTAATATGCAAATTTAATGTGCTTTCTGTTACCTGTGCAGAATAAGCTGTCACTGTTCTACTTATTTGTTTTTCATTATTTCCATTCACTTGACTTATTAGAACTCATCCATGCTCCCTTGATGATGCTTACTGCCTGGCAGACGCCCTGCCCGATGCCAAGGAAACTACATTGAATAAGACAGAGACCCCAGCCTTAGGACCTCAAATCCCAGTGGAGGGAGACAGAAAAGTAAAGGCCTTCTTGTCCCTCCCTCTTCTCCTTTTAAATGTAGACCATCCTTTTTTTTTTCTTTTTTGTTGTTGTTAATCCTCACCTGAGGATATTTTCCCATTGATTTTTAGAGAAAGTGGAAGAGAGGGGGAGAGAGAGAGAAACATCGATGTGAGAGAGACACATTGATTGGTTGCCTCCCGCACATGCCCCAACCAGGGCCAGGGATCGACCCTACCCTTGACCAGAATCAAACCCAGGACCATTCAGTCCTCAGCCCAACACTCTATCCACTGAGCCATCCGGTGAGGGCAATGTAGACCATCCTTGTCTGACAGTAGTGAGCTTTTTTCCTTCTTCTGTATTTCTAATGGACTAATTTATAAGTTGCTCAGGAACCTGTGCTGGAAAAATGGAGCTTTCTAGATTGTGTTAATTTCAGCTCCCGAATCTCAAATGCAAAAGTTAGTAGGCATTAAATAAAACTGCTATTTTAAAAAAAAAAAACTGTCCCTAGCCGGTTTGGCTCAATGGATAGAGTGTTGACTTGTGGACTGAATGGTCCCAGGTTCGATTCTGGTCAAGGGCACATGCCTGGGTTGTGGTCTCGATCCCCAGTAGGGGGTGTGCAGGAGACAGCCAATCAATGATTCTTTCTCATCATTGATGTTTCTATCTCTCTCTCCCTCTCCCTTCCTCTCTGAAATCAATAAAAATATATTTTTAAAAAAACTAGATGGGGGGAAAAGTTCATCCATCCACACATCTGCATATTTGGAACATAATAATTGAGCTTCTTCCTCATTTTTGGCTTTGTCCTTTATTGAGAAAGTTTATGAAGCACAACTGTTTGCAAACTGTTTACACATTTGTTGTAAGATGTTGTCAGGGATATCACACAGTGCTGCCTACGTCAGGTCTCGTGAGAAATGTCATCTGCAGTTCCTGGACTAGAACAACTCTTTTCTATTTGAGAAATTAGCATAACAACATCTTTCTGATAACAAGAGCTCTATAAGTATAATGCTCTCATTTTTTGCCTGTGATATCTGAAATCTCAGTAACTTAGTGGTCAATAAAACTTACTTTTTTTAGCCTTTAAGTTGTTTATTTGCTTCCTCTTCCTTTTCATGATATGATACTTCTCTGTATGTTTTATAAACATTATTGACATATGTCTTTTTTCAGAAATGCCTAAATTTTTTTCGCTTAGTTGAATACATATCTAAAGTAAGTCATGTCCTAAATCTCAGGTCAGCAAACTATGGCCTGTGAGCCAAGTCTGACCTGCTTTTTTATGAAAATTATAAAGTTTTATTGGTGAAGGACAAATATGGTATGATTTCACTTATATGTGAAACCTAAAAGCACAAAATAAATGAACAAACAAAACAGAAATAGACTCACAGATGCAGAGAACAGATTGATGGTTGCTAGAGGGGAGAGGGTGGAGGGCTGGGTGAAAAGGGATTAAGAAGCACAGATTTGTAGTTACAAAATAGTCATGGGGATGTAAAGTACAGCACGGGGAATATAGTCAATAATATTGAGGTAACTATGTATGTTGCCAGGTGGATACCTGAATTATTGGGGGGATCACTTTGTAAATTATATAATTGTTTAACCACTGTGATGTATACCTGAAACTAATATAAAATATTATTAAATGTCAACTGTCATTGAAAACTAAAATTTAAAATATAAAGATTTATTGGAACTTTAAACACTCCTTCATTTATATGTTATCAATGGCAGACAGTAGGGCCGAGGAATCCTCAAATATTTACTATCCAAGCAGAGTAGCTACACAATCCACGTGTGTATCGTACTAGTACTAAGGATTGGAAAAAACTAAATTCTTATATATTGATGTTAAAGCAACTTTATATGGATTACTAACTGGCATTTGTATTTTTAAAGCCACATACATGAGCACACGTGCACCAACATGCACACACACACACACATACACACAAACCTGTAAGTAATATTTTCCATTTTGATCATGCTAGCATTTTAAATAAATGTGTACTAGTACTAAGGATTGGAAAAAATTAAATTCTTATATATTGATGTTAAAGCAACTTTACATGGATTACTAACTGGCATTTGTATTTTTTAAAGCCACATACATGAGCACACGTGCACCAACGTACACACACACACACACACACACACACACACACACAAACCTGTAAGTAACATTTTCCATTTTGATCATGCTAGCATTTTAAATAAATGTAATTCATCCTTTTGGAGGGCATGTCGTTGTCCTGTGATATCCTCTTGACCGTGTCCTATCTTGCTCTCTTTGCTTCTAGAGGAAGACCGGTGTAGACTGTACTGCAAGGCTGAGAACTTTGAGTTTTTTTTCGCAATGTCCAGCAAGGTGAAAGACGGAACTCCTTGCTCCCCAAACAAAAATGATGTTTGTATTGATGGGATCTGTGAAGTAAGAGAACCTTTCTGCTTTGGGATGTCTGATCATGTTTGTGTTTTCTCATATCAGAAGGCAAATGTGAGAAGGGTGGCAAGAGAGTCTGTCTGCAGAAAAGCAGGTGGCATAGGGTTAAGGGGCAACATTAACCCTATGACGTAGCCTCCTGTACACAGTAGCTGTAAAAATTAAATAAGAATGTAAACTTTTATTGCGTATTCACTAAATACATTCACTATATAATTAGAACCTCACACATGTGTTTGAAATAGTACTACTGTTTCTTTCTAGTAGTTTTATTTGGGTACCCACTTTCTCTTTTAAATTGATTGTGAGATTGTTTATCTCTTCAGGGTGTGTGTGTGTGTGTGTGTGTGTGTGTGTGTGTGTGTGTGTTTTGTCCAGCATTTTTAGGTTTCGGTAGTAGAGCTGGCTCACCTGCCATTGGTAGCAATGGTGACTTTTTATTCTGATTTTACAGATGACGAGTCTAAGCCTAGATAAGTTATATGATTGCCTGGGCATAAATCTAGTCATGAATGGCAGGGAAGGATTTGAACTCCAAGTCAGTCAAACTTGACAGTGTGCTTTTCATCGTAAAGCTGGACCTCCTTCCTGAGGTTCTGCAAATACAGGGAACCGTGGGCCGCTTGGTTATCCTTAGCCACTGGCTTCTCTGACCTTTGATTTTTCTCGCTCTTTGCCTTCTTGTCACAGCCAGTGGGATGCGATCATGAACTTGGCTCTAAAGCAGTTTCTGATGCCTGTGGTGTTTGCAAAGGTGATAATTCGACTTGCAAGTTTTATAAAGGCCTGTACCTCAACCAGCATAAAGCAAATGGTAAGAGACACTGCTGCTCCGTGGCTGTCACGGGTGGGACACATCTTCTGCTACTGAACAAGTTCAAGTGATGCTAGATGTGGTCGAGCCTTTACCTGGCTCACCTGACGCCGGGCAGATGATGGCTTTTACACTTCTGCCAGAGCTAGGGAGGGCAGGTGGGGATTTTCATGTGAAGGGTTTTAGCAACACACTCATCTCAGATGTGTTCAAACAAATGCCCTTCTACTCGGCAGTCTGAATCTGCTGATCAGGCTGTCCTATGCCCCACATTCATTCGTTAAATAGAGAACTTATTGCGAAACTTAGATAATACCCCCTCAAATGTTGGATGAATATTTGAAGCAATTATCTAAACATCTTGAGTAAGATTAAACTTGGAGCCCTGTTTTCTGCATATCACTGTGAGAGTACACGGCTCTCACTTTCTCGTCGGTAGATGCAAAATAAATCGCATCCTTGAGTTCCGTGGCCTTGCGCAGTACCTTCAGTCCACACGCAGCTGCTGGGGACAGCCACATACACCTCTCTCTCCCGTGCTCCTGCCACTCGGAAAATGAAATTACCAATCACTCTCACTTCATAAGAGTAGAAATGAATGTCAGTTGATGATTCAAAAACCTCCCTCTACAAAAAATGGCCACTCCGTGTCTGAGCCTTTCTGGTCACCTCCCGTGGAAAACAAAAGTGCTCTGTTCTTCCCGCTTAGAATATTACCCGGTGGTCGTCATCCCGGCAGGAGCCCGAAGCATCGAAGTCCAGGAGCTGCAGATGTCCTCCAGTTACCTCGCCGTCCGGAGCCTCCATCAAAAGTACTACCTGACGGGGGGCTGGAGCATCGACTGGCCCGGGGAGTTCCTCTTCTCCGGGACCGTGTTTGAGTACCAGCGCCCCTTCAACCGCCCGGAACGTCTGTACGCACCAGGACCCACTAATGAGACGCTGGTCTTTGAAGTAAGCCCCTTCTGCTCATTCAGTTCCCAGTGCCTCCTGCTAAGTGGGCAGTGATGATCCCAGCTTGAGGGAGCTCTGAGAGCCCCAGTCTTTCTAGTGCACGTCTCCTAACAGGCTCGATTTCAGAGTGCAAAGGGGAAGAGGCAGCAACTCCATTTAGGGGGGAAAGGGCAGGGATCCAATGGGCCCCCAAGAAAATGTGTCAGTTTCACATTTAGACGCCAGCCTCTCACTGTGGCACGCGGCTGTCCTGAATGCTGAGGAGTACGTAGAGGAGTACTTTTTACATCGTTCCCGTGTGTCTGTGTCTGCCATTGGGGTAGTCCATTGCTGCAATTCCCCGCATATATCTGCTGGCCCGGTGGGGGAGGGGGGGCGCAGAGTGAGGGAGCAGAAAGGACACTGGTCTGAGGGCCAAGAAAGTTTCCATCACAGCAAGCCACCTTGCTTTTGTAGGCTGTCAGTCTCTTAGCGGTATGAATGGCTAGTAATGGTAATGAAAACAGCCAGCGTATCTGCAAATGGCTCTGCGGACTGTTGTCACGTGTACATTTTCTGTGGTCCTCATAATGTTCAGTGTATAAGCCGGGGCTGGTCATTTGCTTTCAGAGACAAGTGATGTGCTTCGGGTTGGGCAGAATCCCACTGGCCCCGCGTACAGAGGGCTTACATAACCAGGCACTCTCGTCAGTCATTTCGAGCTTCAGTTTCTCACCCACAAAATTGGGATAGAAAACCTACCTCACTGATGTGCCAGAAAAATAAGCAATGGAGTGTGAAGAAAGCTTAAAAGATTTGCCTAACTCACACAGGGAGGGAAAAAGCAGAGTTGAACTGTAGCCCAGATCTTTCCCATCGAGGGGGGTGATACTGCTCTTCTCAATTAAAGGAAACAGTAGCTTAATTCAATAATTATAATAATTATAATTATACTAATAATTATTGTTATTAAAGGCATTAGCCTTAAACATTTACTAAGGAAAATGAGTAGAAGACAGTTTTGAAAAATGACCTACTGTAACTCTGGATTCTAAGTCAGATATTGTACAAGTAGTATGGTGGAAAGTACAGACTTTTTTTTTTTTTAATCCTCACCCAAGGATATTTTTCCATTGATTTTTAGAGAGAGTGGGAGAGAGAGGAAAAGACAAAGAGAAACATTGATGTGAGAGGATACACATCGATTGGTTGCCTCCTACATGTGCCCTGACCAGGGCCCAGGCAGGGGAGGAGCCTGCAACCAAGGTACTGCCCCTGACCCGAATCGAACCAGGGGACCCTTTGATCTGCTGGCCAATGCTCTATCCACTGAGCCAAACCAGCTAGGGTGCAAAGTATAGACTCTTAACTAGCTATAAACTTGGGCAAGTTTCTTAATCTCTTAATACCCACATCTGAAATATAGGCAAACAATACTAGCTAACTATTAAGGCCAGTTTGAGGATAATTTAAGATAAGTCCAATGCTTACAGAGTCATTGGCACATAATATTTGTAACCATGATCATCATTTTGCCCTCTGAGTGTATTGCACGTATATTTTTAAAATCTAAACCTCAGACCATGGTTAGCCAACTGCTGACCACAAGTCAAATCCAGGTCCCAGATCTGCATATTAAAACAAAATGAATCAATACTTTAATATAAGGTGATTTCCTATTTTTAAAAATACAGATTTTTGACATCTCTCTAAAAAAATAAAAGAACTTCTGGCCCCAGTAGGTACAGCATTTGAGTTTGCAGCCTAGGCCCTTGATCTTGACCATGAGTTAACCTCCACTGTCTTACCAATTTGAGGCACCAGGTCCTATCACCTCTGTCTGTGTGATAGAAGGTCCCTCAGAGATTTCACAACACTAAGTCTGAGAGAAGCCATCAGCACAAGATATTCTTCCAACCCCCTCAGGTCTCTCAGAGGATAAGATAGGAACCCCGAATCAAACTGGACTGAAGTTAGGGTGGCGGGAGCTCAACAGCGCATCCAGCCCCTGAAATTGCGCTTTCATTAAACCTAAGGCCCCAGGGATTGAACTCTCTGATTAGGGATTTCTGGACTTTTTTTCTCTCAAATCTTTTTCTTTTAGATGTGTATGTTTGCTCTGTTTCTTTTCTACTCAGCATCTAAGCCACAAACATCTTTTTCTTTTCTTTCGAAAGGTATGTTTTCTTTAGGGGTGGGGTATACTGCGCTTGCAAGGTTCATGTTTTAGAGCACCATGGCTTTACTAGCTTTGCCAAGAGGCCTCTGATCCATCTCTGAGCAAATGTACACACACCGAGGTCTGTGGCTGAACAATAATGTAGGTCGGGAAGGGGACGAGGTGCCTCCCACGGCTTCTGCCACGCGCAGTCACAGGCACGCGCAAGTCGCTCCTCGTGAGAAATGTGTGGTTTACTCTCTCGTGACAAGCAGCCCTTCTTTGTTGTTGTTTCTCCGGTTTTGTTCATAAACACAGAGCCACTCCAGTAGGTGTCGACAGTCCTGTTGGTAATTTCAGGCTTGTTGTTAAACATATATCATCCGTAGGGAAACCACAACAAAGAGTCAGACAAGAATGATGGAAAGTGCACAGCAGAATAACAGAGTTCCTTCTCGCTTTCATCTTCAGAGCCCGGAATATCCCCTGGCACTGTCGGTGTTGATCACATTAACCAGATAATTGACACATTGTCACTGAATGTTGTACCAGCTTCAGGCTGAGAATTTTTATTTGTGCTTTGCTTGATCTAAGCATAGCTCCGTATCTCATTCATCTATATTATTTTAGACCTGGCTGAAATTAATTAAATCTTTGGGTTGTTCACTAGGTCCAATTTTTTTTCTGATGTTTAGGAGCTATTTTTAAGAAATAGAAGGATGACCTCAGTGTGTGATGGAGTTCTCCAAAATTGGTCAGGTTCATCAGTCCATCTCATCTGCTTGCAAATACAGGCAGTGCCTTGGGGGGGGGATATGGGGAACAACTATGATATAAGGGGAAATATTATGTAGATCTAAATAAAATTATAAAAACATAAAATCTTCCCGTTTCAATTGGATATGTATTACATAATTTTTAAAATATATATTTTTATTGATTGCAGAAAGGAAAGGAGAGGGAGAGATAGATAGAAAATCAATGATGAGAGAGAATCATTGATCGGCTGCCTCCTCCATGCCCCCTACTGGGGATAGAGCTCACAATCAGGCATATGCCCTGACCGGGAATCGAACCCTGACCTCCTGGTTCAGAGGTCGACACTCAACCACTGAGCCAACGTGGCTGGGCTATATTATTTTTTAATAATTTTTATGACTATATGAATAGAAGTAAGAACTATAATAATATTTCTATTAATACAAAACCATAGTTTCGCTGCAATGGAATAAGGTCACATTTGCTTACAAAGCCACACTTCTTGTACTCATTCTACTTACAGAATCAATGAAAGCTTAATGTCCTAGGAATGTGACCTGTCTGAAAGTAACCTACAGGGAAACTTACTTGATTAATTGGACATGAATTGCTTGTATTTTTAAAGAAGTTGTGGTTTCATTCAAAACTTGCAAATGTGTTAGGAGATTTAAAAAAATCAAATCCAGTGACTTAGTATCATGTCTATTTTATCTTTTAAAAATATTGGGGTTAATGACTTTAATATTTAAATTATACATTATTCCTCTCAGGAGAACATCAAATTTCAGGCCAGTTTTTGTCATGCGGTCAGACCTTCCTAAATCGATATAACACAGTGATTTTAAAAAGTTAAAATCATAGTAAGCAATAAATTACATTTTCCCAAAACTAGACTGTATAGCAATATCCAAGTGATCCACGGCTGTATTCTTTAAAGGGATTTCAAGTTCATACGCCTCTCCATACAACTGTGAATTGAACCAGAATGAATACTCTGGGAGCCAAAAATATGTTCACTCCAATATAAAAATGTTGAATGCGTTTTACAATCCTGGGGGATGCTGAAAATCAAAGTGTGGGAACCGACCAAAATAAAAAATGCTGTTGCATCCGCAGAAAGTATAAGTCTGTGAAAGAAAGCACTTTTTCTCTCAGCCACTTAAAATATCTGTTCACTAAGTTCTCCTCATAGTGTAAAAGTCGGCAGGAGGGTGTGTTTACCAAAACACATAAGGATGGCATGTTAAGGATACTGTCCCTATTTTTTTAAAAAATATATTTTATTGATTTTTTACAGAGAGGAAGGGAGAGGGATAGAGAGTTAGAAACATCAATGAGTGAGAAACATCGATCAGCTGCCTCCTGCACACCCCCTACTGGCGATGTGCCTGCAACCAAGGTACATGCCCTTGACCGGAATCGAACCTGGGACCTTTCAGTCCGCAGGCCGACGCTCTATCCACTGAGCCAAACCGGTTAGAGCATACTGTCCCTATTTTTATCTCGTTTATATATATTAATCAGACCCTCCCAATAGCTTAGCTAGTTCCCATCTTCGACTGCCTTGGTGTGTATTGACTTAGGTAACGACTTACAAAGTAATTTTCCCCTGCTTACTTCCTCTCTTTGTCTGAACAAAATGAGACATTTGTTGGGTGCCTTGAACTAGACATAGGGAATACACAGTGGTTAAGACACAGATCATGTCTCGGCTCTTTAAGGGATGTAAAGAGTGAGTCCGGTATGTGGATCCCATTCTTTGGGAAGCGCACGGGCTGGTGCAGGGAGCATTGTGTGAATAGTTGGCAACACGGGCTACTTGCTGCTCTTCCCCGTGTCACGGTGCAGGAGTCACTTCATCGATCTGGGTGATCTGGGTCCCAGTTTTCTCATTTGGGAAATGATTTCCCCGAACTCATGCTAAACTGTGCCTTCCACTGTACTCCACAGCACTGTCCTTGCGCACTTTAATAGCCCTCGGAATCCCACATTAGCACAAGGACTTACTCATCTTTGCAGCTTCCAGGGCTGACTTAGTACCTGGGACATCGTAGATGCTCAAAAAATATATATTTATTGGATGAAGAGCTTCCAGTGATAAAAT